TCTTATAACTTAGTTTTTGCTTCGATATAAAAATAGTTATTATCTCAGATGTAATTGTATTTCGTCAAATAAAAAACTCAAATTCGCATCGGTAGAAATTTATTAGTATGATTTTCATTTCAGTATAAAAACAATGTTCATGATATATATTTTTCGCGTTATTACATAAGTTGATCGTTGATCGACTCATCGTTATATGCCACTGGGGGTGAAATTTATTAAGGAAGAATAGTTTAATTTGTGAATGGTATAAAATAGGTATTAGGTATCTCAGCTGGTAAAAAATTAAAATTCGTATCGGTGGAAGCATGAAATTGTGTTATGAGAATTCAAAAATTAAAACCCAGTATTCGTGCGAATTATAACCCCTAAGGGCCTGGATAAATTTAAAATTATTGTTGCATTAGAAGTTTTAATTCGAGCGACTTCATCCTACTTAAAGATTAAATAATATTTTATTTTAGGGGGTGCGATTGACATTTAGTTCCGCTTCGTTTTCCGATGCAATTTGTCGTCTTTTTCCTTTCGTGTTGTTCATAAATATTTTTTTTACAGATATTTCGGTATCAAGCAACTTTTTCTATATTTGATCCATAGATTAGATATTTATTAGCAAATTACCATAAACAAAAAACTATCAACTTACTTCAAGCAATTTAAGAATGCAATATGCATCTTCCAATATGTTACAACAATCATCATCAGCAGGTATCCTGCATCTATCTACCAATCCGAATCTATATATACCAGATCCTATCCAATCCATCGCGTAAAATTTCAGCTCTAAACCTAAAATAGAAACCATTAGTAAGGATATTATAAAAATTTCTTCTCATATAAAACCTACCAAATTGAAGCCAGCCGAAAACTATTATTTCTAATCTTTTTTCGTCTGATACATAATCACATTCTTTTAATAAACGATTTATGCTATCACGCATTGTTATCATCAATTTTACTTTATCCAGGAACCGTTTCTTGCGACATGCTGTAGGGATTCCAAATGAACCTAGCCCACCTGCCACCTCTCCAAAAAGAGCCTCAAATTTATTTGGTGTTTTTAGCAACGTCACTTTCATATCGACCTTTCGACCCATTCGTGCTTTTTTAAATGGATCCGATTTTTCGTTACGTGCATCACTGGTTGAAATAGCCTGAATTTCCCCCCTGTGTACAGAAGAATTGTTAGCATTAAATACCCAATACCTTAATAAAAAGGAAATGACTTACCAGGCGTGTTTCATACGATCGGATGTAAAAATTCCGTGAAACAACGGATATGATGATGTCATTTTCATCTGTTCTTCTGTTAACATTCCTTGGAATAGGTGCATATTGTTCTTCCTGTATGGTAACACAAAGTCAGAAAGTAATACAGATAATCAAGTGTATAATTCGAAGAATAAATACATACAAAAATTGTACATTTGTGTCAAAATGTATTAGATCTTTATTTTCAACGCTATTGTCAAGTTTTTCGCAACTACTGTCGAAATAATCCTGAATATCTTTTGGGGTCGGTTCGCATTTCCATTTGATATGATTAGCGAAATCTTGAGATAAATGTTGTAAATCGTTTTCTGTAATTTCTTTACATCCATATAAACTTTCCCTAGTCAAATCGAGCACTCCCCAATATGCAGGGCTATGAAATAATAATATAAAAGAAATGCATTAATAATCAAACAATGATCATAAAAAGGCATCAAACTTACGTGAATACTTTTCGGGTTTTAGGGATTTTGTTTTGGTAATTTCGGAATGCATTCAACATGTTATCAAATATAAATTTGGATGGGTCCTATTTGAGGATAGATAATGTACTTACTGAATATATTGTATGCCTGCGAATGAAAACATTAAGATTTTACCTTATTATCACTCGCTAGTGGCAAGTTTCTTTCCTCCTCGAGGATATTTTCGTCAATTTTTTCTATAATTGTATCTTCATCATTAAATAAAAATATCAATCCATCATAACCTGGTAATTCGTCATCTCCTAGCTTCCTTTTCAGTTTATTTTCGCATGTTGGACGTTCTTCAGTAAATTCGTCATCACTGTACACTTGATTAGGGTCCTTCCAAAGAAACATGAAAAATATGTGATTAAACTGATATTCGACTCATTGATCATACTATATTAAAAATTAATTACATCAAAGTTTTGTGAAATTTGTACATTTGATTCGTCTTCCTCAACCTCCTCATCTTTTTTGACCCGCCCTCCTACTGCACCAGTCAAGATTTCATTTGCCTGTATTCTGTAACCTTGTGCCATTTCGCTCTTCGTCACTGACCCGCTTGAAAGAGTTGTAAGGATGTGAGCACGGAAATTCTGCTCGTAAGCATCCCGTAAGTTCCCAAATTCCCTAGATTCACTGAATTCAATTAGCTCTCCTACAAAGTTCACGATTGATTTTGAGACATTTTTTTGCCTTTTAATAAATTTCAGGCTGGCGATCCATTTGTCAAAAATTTCATTAAATGTTTTTGGTGCGTCTCCAGATTGAATAGCAAAAGAGTAGAACCGATGAAATGACCAATGTCTGGCCTCTGTGACTGCGAAGAAACTGTATTTCTTGCGTTTAAAGCGATATGCTCTGAAGTTGAAATCAACTACTGGATCGGTCATCTGTGAAAATAAAATTGTGATAATTAATACGCGTGTTAAACTTACCCTTAGGTTAAACGTGAGCGATGCGATGTCACGCGGTTTGTAACACTGTATAGCTATAGTGAAACATCTGAAACATCGAAAGTTTTGCACCTTCCATTACACCTCTAATCTGTTAACCGCAATTGCCACACAACATCTCCTGGGTCTGTTGGATCTATGTATCTGTTAAAGGATTCAGAGTGGTTAATTAGCGGTGGGTTTTGACAGCTCGGCAGAGGGGAACGTCTTCCCACACCTGTTTATCGCAATTGCCACGCAACATCTCCTGGATCCGTTGGATCTACGTATCTGTTAAAGGATTCAGAGTGGTTAATTAGCGGTGGGTTTGCAGGTCTTACACGGGAACGTTCCAGCAATGGACTTAAGAGAAACCTTTCGTGATTTAGTATAATAACTCTCAGGCTCCATTAACAAAGTTAAAAGTAAAGGACCGGATTATGGATGACTTTATTACTGTTTTGATTCAGGTGAACTTTTATTGATATTGCTTTATTATTTTTATGATATATTACATTACAATGTAAAGAATCGTGGAGTAGGAACAAAGAGGGAGGAATAAGCCGGATCCTAGGCCCCTTTACATTGTAAAGAAATGGCTGTTCCTTTCCCTATTCATATTGCTACCTAAGTTATCGTTATTATTATTGTCCAAGATTATATTACTGCTACTTAATAAATTATTTCTACCACTATTGCTAATTATAACGGAACTATCTTTTTTCTGATTCTTTTGTGGGAATTTTGCGAGTGTGGATGGGCTGAGATCTATTTTCTCAGACAGGACATTGTACATTTTCGTGGGAGAACGTTTTTCTCTTTTTCTTCTCTCGTTAAATATGGCCGTAAATTCGACCCAGAGAGTTTTGGTTTCAGTGGAATATTCGGATCTATAGCTTTGTATAGATGCTTGCCCTGATTATAGAATGCAGGTATACAAGTAATGAGTTTCGCTCTAAATAAAATATGAGGAGTTACACGCTAAACTTGCAAATGTATCACTAATCTCCACTTCGGGTTTCACTTTTCCATTCCACCTCAGTGCGTATTTGGTTCATATCATTTTTTAGAACCAACATATCCCATTTTAAGTCTTTTATAGTCATATCCAATGTAGCTGGAATTGGGGGTGGAATTTGATGTGGGCTTTTGCATAGATAAATAAATACTACGGCAATAATTACGTAAATTATTGTATTTTCAAGAATAATGGAAAAAATCATTTCCATTGTTAATACACCCAGGTTATATAATTCGTAAGTCACGATTACAGCAATGAAAATAGTAAATAAAAAATGGTCAGGAATGTTGAGATGCATTTTTTTCGTAGTTATTTGCTTTGCAATTAATAAATCGATTAATTATTGATTTTGACATTTGGTATGACTCAATCCCTTACCTGAGACTCCAGCGATATCAACATGTTTTTATACGTCAGAGCTTGACATCAACGATCCATGGCATTGGTTCTTTACATCTCGTACTAAATCAAAGCAATAAATCATAATACATGGCAATTTCGTACTATTTATGTTGATTATTGTGCATCGGATGATCGATCACCTATAAAATCATCTGTGCATATATCGTCGATAATTGACAATTCCTTATATGTACAACACGATTCTTGTTTGTTACTTAATTGAGATGCAATAGCAGAGCTAGTGTCAAGACACATGAGGTCCATGAGGTCTTATTTTGGAATAAATGGGTTTCGATTCTGCATCCCGAATAATATCACGGTGTTACCATGGGTTTCCTCCACTTTCATAATTTTTTTATTATTTTATTTTAGTTTATTCTTATTTGTATTTATTTTATTAGTATAGTTATTTAGTATATTTTAGTATATTTAGTATATTTATTTATTAG